TGTTGTTGTTGTTAGGTGCCATGGAGTTGGTACTGACTCACAGTGACCCTATGTACAACAGAACGAAACACTGCCTGGTCAAGGGCCAACTTCACAATTGTTGCCATGCTTCATCCCATTGATGCTGCCACTTTGCCAGTCCATCTCTCTGGGGGTCTTCCTCTTTTACTCTGAACCTCTACCTTACCAAACATGATATCCTTCTCCAGCGAGTGGTCCTTTCTGACACAATGTCTGAAGTATGAGAGACAAAGTTTGGCCATCCTGGCCTCCAAGGAGCACTCTGGATGCACTTCTTCCAACACAAATCTGTTGGTTCTTTTGGCAGCCCATGGCACTTTCAATATTCTCCTCCAACACCATAACTCAAAAGCGTCAAGTCTTCCTTTTCTTTTCCTCTGTGCACATAGCAGGAAATGGTCACTTCAGCCTTATTGGGTCAAGTGTAAGATTCATTAACATCGCAATAAAAGCCAAAACATTTATTAGCATCTCTTATTTTTCTTATTTCTTGAGTCCTCTGGAGAATGAATGGGACCCAGTTTTGGCCATGTATCAATCTTTAATCTAACTGGTAACCATGTGATGAGGTCAAATGACTTAGCAGTTCTTAAGAGCTGGAGTCCTGGTGTGATACTATAGGATAAGCACTGGAATGCTAACTGCAAGGTTTGCAGTTCAAAATCTACCAGGTGCTCCTTGGAAACCCTATATAATACAGGGTTGCTATGAGTCAGAACAGAGTCAGAACAGACTCCAAGGCAGGCACCTTACAACAAGATAAAGAGCTAAGGGAGAATGCTCTTTTGAAAAGGAACAATTGTTTTGTGCACAGAGCAGTGATGGTTGAAGAAGAAACAACTGACTTTGAACTACTCTACTGTTGTAAGGGCAGCGGTTCAAGCTCACCAGCTGCTCCCTGGAAGCCCTAACAGGGTTGCTATGGGTCAGAATTGACTCGACGGCACTTAACAATAACAACAACAACAGCTGTTGAAAGATAAAGTAATTTCATTTCTTCCACAAACCTTAGTCTCACTTTCTCTTCCCCTTATGTTCCCTTTTGGTGTTCTTGTTAAGTGCCTTTGAGTTGGTTCTGACTCATAACAACACTGTAAAGAGTTTCTGAGGAGTGGCTGGTGAGTTTGAACCACTAACCTTGCGGTTCAAAGCGACCTTATGATCTAGTACATTATCCTGCAGCCCCACACTAGGACTCCTATGTTCTCTTTTAGAGAATGTCATTATATTTCAGGAATGTCATTATCAATGATATAGTTGTCCACATCATAAACCATTTTGTAAGCAATAAGGAACACAACAGCTAAAATTTATTGAATATGTATCCTATATGATATACATCCTATATTCATTTCTTAAATTCAACAGCACAGTAACCCTACAAGTGGGTATTTTCTACATGATAGCTGAGCAAAATGAAATTTAGAGATGTTAAATCAGGCCTTCAATAGCTCTCTTGGATTACTTCCATAATCTCCTGATTCCTTGCTTCCATTTCGTTCTGTTTTTCCCCCTCAGCAATAACTGTGGTTATTTATAAAAAAAAAAAAAAACAACCCACATGATCTGGCAATAATTACCAACTTCATGTCTTCCAATTCTGCACTTCACAATCTATTCTTAAATCACACAGATTATTTGCAGTTCTAACAGTTTGTTTCTTATTCTTCACAGTTCCCCAGTCATTCTCTTGGCTGAATCATATATATTACTGACACTCAGCATTCATCTTAGATGCTACTCATCCAGAAATCTTCCCTAATTGAAGAGGATGACCCTTCCTTGTACTCTACTTTCACTTTATACTCTAGTGGTTAGTTTTTCATTGTTTCTTGCACTGGATTCTGTGGTCCTTGAGTAGAGGTATTATATTATGTTCAGTGTTGAATATCTTGAGATTAGTGATGTGTTTGGCATGTGCTCAATATATATATATTAAGGTTTTTAATGTGTATTGAGTGAAGGTTTACAGGGCACATCATCAGTTTCACATTCAACCATTCATATGACTTGTTTCATTACATTGATTACAATCCCCTCCATACATCATCAGTCTCAATAAATATATTTTAAATGAAAAAAAAAATCTTCACTAGATGTCTTGAAGAATTTTCATATCCACTTAAAGAGAAACAGATATTCAGCCTTTCATGTTTAGTAAATGGATTAATCTGGTATAGCCATTCCTCTTATACTATGCTTCTGGGTTACAATTTATAAAAACTGAGTAGAAAAAGTTTTAAGATTGATGAAATTATCTCTGAGAAAAGATATCAAAAAATATAGAAGAAAGTGATAAAAATAATAAACTAAGTGCTAAATGTCTTCTAAAATAAAGATGAGTAATGCAGTAAAAGGAGCTCTGGTAGTGTAGTGGTTATGAATCGGGCTGTGAACCTTAAGGTCAGCAGTTTGAAACTACCAGCTGTTCCAAGGGAGAAAGATGAGGTGTTCTGCTCCTGTAAAGATTTACAGCCTTGGAAACCTGGTACAGGGTCGCTATGAGTC